TGCTTGTTCAATCTCCTCTTAAAGGCCAACAGGATAGGGGACAGCGCCACCTCCCTTGGGAGCCCGTTCCAGAATCTGGCAGCCCTTACTGGGAAGAAGCTCTTCCTGATGTCCAACCTACATCTGCTCTCTGTCACTTTGCGGCTGTTGTTTGTAGTAGGTTGGGTTGAGATGAGGTCAGGGGTCAGTTGAGGTTGGGTTGAGTTGAGGCCAAGGGTAGGTTGAGGTTGGGTTGAGGTTGTGGGTAGGTTGGCTGGGAGCATATGCCCCCATCCGGAAATCCCTCTGTACCCATGCCCTCATAAGATGACGCCTTCCCTACCAGGTTCCGCATCGCCCACCAGCCTCCGCTCTCCCCTCACTTCACCCGGGCCATTAGGGACCTGCCCAGGGACTACACCCCGGCCTCTCATGTTGAGTACCACAATTTCATTGCCATCTACGGCACCCACTACCTCACCAATGTGCATGCGGGGGGCCGCATCCGGGACATCACAGCCATCCGGACCTGCCAGACAGCGCTGGATGGGCTGACAGCTGACGAAGTCAAGGACTGCTTGGAGGTAGAAGCGGCTGTGAGCACTGGGAGCGAGACTGCCAAGGTTGAGGCAGCCTCCAAGATGTGCCGGGAGCAGCGCCAGAAGGAGAACCTCAAGACGAGCTTCCACGAGGCCTACAGGGAGCGCCACACGGAGATCATCGGAGGCCACGACCACATAGACTTGCTCTTCTCCAACAGGCAGGATGCCAGTGCCTACACCAGCTGGTTGGAAGGTGTCAAAGCCAACCCTGGCCTGCTCTCCTACACCCTGGCACCCCTCCACATCTTGGTCAAGAAGGAGGACCCAAGGAGGAAGGCTCTCCAGCGAGCGGTGAGCAAGTACATCCATGGCCGGGCCTTGTGGAGGAACTGCACCCAGCCGTGCCCGCCGGGCACCCAACGTAGTGCCCGGGACCCCTGCTCCTGCGTCTGCCCTGGGGATGATGTGGCCAACACCATGTGTTGCTCCAAGAAGCGGGGTCTGGGCAAGCTGGAGGTCACCATCAAACGTGGCCAAGGCCTGTGGGGCGACTACTTCAGTCGGACGGACGCCTATGTCAAGGTCTTCTACCTGGAGAAGTTGCTCCAAACCAGCACTGTGAACAACAATGACAATCCCACCTGGAACATCCGTCTGGATTTCGGGGCCGTGACGGTCACCGTGGCCTCCAAGCTGCGGGTGCAGGTGTGGGATGAAGACAATGGGTGGGACAATGACCTCCTGGGGACCTGTGATGAACTCGTAGTAGCTGGTGCCTCCCAGCAAAAGACCTGCTACCTGCAGCATGGCAAGCTGGAGTACCAGTACCAGCTTCAATGTGGGCCCAGTCTGGGGGGGGACAAGTGCCAGGACTATGTCCCACAGCCTCCTGGTGTTGCAGTCAACTGGACCGGGATTGGGAAAACCCTGGGAGGGAAGCAGGGAGATGAATCAAAGAGAGGTGGAGCTGGGAGGGACCTCCAGGGCCCACATCTAGTCCAACCGCTGCTCTGAGGCAGGAACAACCCAACCCAATCCATCCGTTGGCCAGCCTCTTGACCCAACTCATCCACTGGCCATCCTCTTGGCCAAACTAGTCAACTCTAATTCAAGCCACCCATTGGCCAACCACTTAGCAGAACTAGTCAAGCTCATCACAACCCAGCCCAGACCAATTCATTGGTCAACCTCTTGGCCACGCTAGGCAACTCCAAGATAATGAGAAGGCCCCACACCCAAACTGGCCACCTATCACACTGGAGGAGACCATGGCAGTGGATGCTCTGTGGCTGTAGATAAATCCAACCCCAACTCAACCCAAGACCCCAACCTACCCACGAGCACAACTCAACCCAACCTCAATCCAAAAATTACCTCAAGTCAACTAAGCCCCAAGCTACCCAAAGACCCCAACTCAACCAGTCTTAAACTACCCAGGAACCCAAGATCCCAACTCAAACTAGTTTCAACCTACCCAATCAACTGAACCCAACCCATGACCCGAACTCAACCCAACCTCAACCTACCAATGACATCACTCAATTCAACCCCAACCAACCTATGACCCCAGCTGGATCCCAGAAAGAGGTTATGCCCTCTGCTATGGAAGCAAGCAACCCCCCCTAACCTTCCCCCAGTTGGTACCAGTCTAACCATTGCTCCCCAACCCCAGATAGGATGGCCTGACTTGCACAGGATGTAGGATGTGGGTAAGGTGGGAGGGGGGGAATGATGGGATCCACCACCCCATAGGACCCCCACAAAGTTTTCTGCACCCAATGAGAAGCTGGAAACATTGTGACTACACGGGAAAGGGTGGCATTGTGTTATGCATCCTGCCATCAACCAATAAACATGGTGAATGAGGCACTTGTTCACTCACTTTGAGAATGGGTAGGAAGATGACCAACCAGCCAGGCCAAGAAATAGCTCAGAGCTGCAGTGGGTCATTAGTCCTGGGGTCGTTAGTGGGAAACTCAGGCGTCTGGGCTTCCAGACCCGCCCCCTGCTTGTACCCTCCCACCCCAGGAAACCCAGGTGTCTGGGCTCCCAAACCCCCTGCTCCCACCCCCACCTCACCCCAGAGGACCCAGACGTGCAGCCTCCTAGGCCCCCTCCGCTTTCAGTGTCTGAAGCCCGGGAATACTGGGATAGGGCCCTGGCCTGGGCCTGATCTGGGGGCAGGGGCGGTGTTACCCTCAGGTGGTCCCCATCAGCACCACCCCAGAACTGGTTGCACCATATCCGGGTGGGGGGAGGGGAGGAAACCGAGGCAGTTAGACATGCAGCTGGCTGTGTGGAGGTGCGAAGCCACAACAAAGTGGGGGCAGATACACAAGGCCACATCAGAGGCTGTGGCCACATGCATGACAGCGCTGCCAGGAAATGGCGCAGGATGTGCCCCACCCCAGGCTCGGACCAGTTCTCACACGAGCACTTGGTGCTGGGGGCGTCAGGGCAGACCAAAGGTGACGTATGGGACCTCGGCGTCCGGGAAGGACAGGTCCTCACTAGCGTGAAGAACTGCAGTGTCTGGGGTCCCCCGTGGCTCCCGCCCCTGGGAGAAAAGTGTCTGCCTGTGCACCTCTAGGCACACACACACACACACACACACACGTATGTATGTGCACGTGTACATGTCTGTACAGACATCCAGGCACCATGTGCATCTGTGTATATATGGACATAGACATACACACACACACGTGTGCCTGTGTATGCATATATCGATCACATACACACATTACGTGCATGTATAATGTACACACGTGTGCATGTATGTGCATACATCACATGTACACCCACACACATTGTGTGTGTGGGTGTGGGTATGTACACACACACCCAGGCACTATACACGTGCGTGCGCACACATCCCCAGGAACTATATACACTATACAGACACACATACACACACAACATGTGCATGTGTGCATAGGTATACACGCCCCCTTGTGTGTGGACACTACGTGAGTACATGCGCGCATGTGTAGCACGGGGTGTGCAGAACGAGTGTGTCGCTGTCCCCTGAAGTCAGCATGTGCCATCATGTGGCCCAGTGTCACACTACAGCTGAGTGGCTCCAATGGGTGCTGGAGAAGGAACATTGTGTGTGTGCATGCGTGCACGTGTGTGTGTGTGTGTGTAATACAGTGCGTGGGGATGTGTGCACACATGTGCATAGTGTGTGTGTGTGTGTGTGTGTAATACAGTGCGTGGGGATGTGTGCACACATGTGCATAGTGTGTGTGTGTGTGTGTGTGTGTGTGTGTGTCTCTCTATACACACACATCTATGCTATATCCATATAGATGCAGACACCTGTCTACACAGACGAGGGCCTCAGCAGGAGGACACGGGTGCCGATATCCCCGCACCAGGAGCGCGGGGAACAAGCAGGAGGAGCTAGGCCTCCTACTTGCTGGTGGGCAGTACGATGCAGTAGGGATCTCAGGGTGGGACTCCCCACACGGCTGGAGCGTAGCCCTGGAGGGCTGCACCCTGCACAGCGGGACCGGGTAGGGAAGACAGGTGCTGGCGTTGCTCTCTATGCGAAGGAGCAGCACACCTCCTTGGCGACTGACATTGGAACCAAAAACAGACAGCTTGACACCCCCTGGTTTAACTTGCACAGGGGGCGGCGAGAGAGACCTAACTAGGTGTTAACTACACACCACCAAACCGGGGGGAGGAACGCGAGCTGGAGGTCACCCGAGAACTGACTCAGGCCACACATGCACATGACACGGGCGTCCCGGGTGATTTTCATTACCCAAACATCTCCTGGGAGGAAGACTCGGCCAAGTCGGATGGGTTGCAATCCTTCCTGACCTGCGTCGAGGAGCTCTTGCTGACTCGGGCGGTGCGCGGGCCAACCAGAGGTGACTCTCTGCTAGTCTTGGTCCTGGCCAAAGGAAATGATCTAGTGCCTGACTTAAATATAGTGGAAAGTCTGGGCAACAGCGATCATGAAACCAATCACATTCGCTGTCCGACATAAGGCAGACAAATAGGATAGTAGGATTGAAGTCTTGGACTTGAAAAATGCAAATTCCCACAAGCTCAGGTCACCAGCAGGGGAAGTGCTGCGGGGCCAGGGACTGCAGGCCAAAGGTGTGCACGAGGAGTGGTTGCTCCTGAAGGACACGATCCTTGAAGCACAAAGGAAGTCTGTTCCCACGCGGAGAAAAGGTACTGGAAGGGCTGGGAAGCCGTCTTGGCTAAACGGGGAAGTCACGGTCCTCAGAAGAAAGAGGCTAATAAGCGCTGGAAGCTCGGGACGGGCCCCAAGGACTATTCCACAACAGCCCGCGTTTGCAGGTAAGAAAGGCTAAAGCGGCGACAGAACTTCGATTAGCGACGGGGATCGAGGGCAAGGAGAAGTCCTTCTTTAGGTACGCAGGGAACAGGAGGAAACAAATGGGAGTGGGGGCCACTGCTCAACAGCTCAGGAGAGCTGGGTACCGGCACCCAGGAGAAAACTGAACTCCTGAATGACGATGGCGTCTCGGTCTTTCACGGGACCAAGGGGAAAACCACAGCAGGTAGAGTAGAGGATGAGCACGGTAGGAAGAATCGCCTTCCTACTATTGCTGTAGAATGGGTGTATGACCGATTAAAAACATTGGACGTACATAAGTCAGCGGGACCGGACGGTCTGCATCCGAGAGCGCTGAAGGAGCTAGCCGAAGTCATTGCGGAGCCCCCGGCGAAACTCTCCCACACCTCGTGGCGCTCGGGAGAGGGCCAGTGCTGTGCCCATCCACAAGCAGGGCAGGAGGGAGGGCCCGGGTGACTATAGGCCGATTACCCTGACTTCCATCCTGGGGAAAATGCTAGAAAAGTCCATCAAGCAGCCTGTCTGCGATCAGCTTGCAGAAGGCTGGATCCTGAACGACAGCCAGCGTGGCTTCACCGTGGGCAGGTCTTGCCTTACCAACCTCACCTCCTTCTGCGACCAGGTAACTCGCCACCTGGGCACGAGAGAGCAGGCTGGCATTGTGTCCCTCGACTTCCAAAAGGCCTTTGCTGCGGTATCCCACCATGTCCTCGCGACAGCATCGGAGGATTGTGGGCTTAACTCCGAGAGTCAGAGGTGAGAAACGGGCTGCGGGGCAGGACCCAGAGCGTCGCAGCGAACAGATCCGTGTCGTCCTGGTGAGAAGCGGGCAGCGGTGTCCCGCAGGGGTCGGTGCTCGGTCCAGTGCTTTTCAACATCTGTATTAACGATTTGGACGTGGGGGTGAAGAGATCGCTGGCCAAGCTCACGCACGACACCGAGTTATGGGGGAGCGCGGTCGAGAAATATAAAGTCTCCACCTGGGGACGAGCAACCCCCTCCCTGCGCAGCTACGGGCTTGGCAACGCCAACCTGACCAGCGCCACGAATAGAAGGGACCTGGGGGCAATAATTAACCAGTGTGAACATGAGCCGGCACGTGATGCTGTAGCCAGCAGGGCAAAGAATAGTCTGGTGTGGCAGAAAGCCACCTCTGTTTCTCCCCCAAAACTCTGCTCTGTGACAAGTTGGTTAGGGTGGGCCCAGCAGGACACACACCGTCCCTATCTCCCTGGGTAACCTGAGCTGGACACACTCCTGAGGGAGGGGGAAACCTGCTCCCTCTGCCCACCTGACTGGCATCGCATACCTGGGTGACGGGCTTGGGCTCCCTGGTGGGCTGCAGACTGCCAGTCTGCCCAGCAACCAGTGATGCATTTCAAATTGGGTGGCTGGCGGCCAACAGGTGCTGGCCTCCATTGGACCAGGTAAGTGAGGGCACAAGGGCTGCCCAGGAGGGGGCAGCAGCCATGAGGGATACTCAGGAACAGAGAAGAGCTGGACCATCTGAACCGTGCTCTCTCTCAAAAGTCACGATCAAGGAACCGCCCGCCTCCAGAGCGAATCTCCACCTGCCTCTGGACGATACCCGTGAGCAAGCTACCGGAGGTCTGACTAGATATACAGCATGCAGTAACTCAGATGTGCGATCAAAGGCTACCATGCCACCCTGTCTGCTCTATGGGATTTCTCTGATACTATTAATCCAGCCCTACTCCTTGTAACCAATAATGTTCTCCTTTGTACCTAGCGAGGGAGACTTATTGGGAGTGGGTCTAGGTTATGCCTACACACACACGAACGCTATTCCCCACCCAATAAAAAAATGTCAAACCTCACTCCTGCCCCTGCCCCCCCCCAGCCTGGGGGGGCCACAAGCAGGAACCTGAAGACTGAAGGGGAACAGGAAAAGGCACAGTGGAAACAGAGCAGGAAACCACACCCCCCTGCCCCCAACCTGGGGGTTAATAACCACAGCCCAGCCTGGGCCCAGGAAGGGGGTAACTGAGTCACGCCACCCACATCACTGCCCTGAGAGAGGCTTGATCCCCAGGGGGGTGGGTTTCGCTAGCCCTGGATGCGGTTAGCTCTGGGATGGTGCAGCACGTAACACAAGGGGGGTGGAAGGCTGTCCCAAGCTGAGATGCAGCCAGCTCTGGGGTGGAACAGCTGGACACTAGCTCCCTACAACCTCTCCCATGAGGTCACCCCCAGGGCTCAGATGCGACCTGCTCTGGGGTGGAATAACTCGACAATAACTCCCTATAAGCCCCCTGCCTGATCACACCATGGGCCCAGGTGCAACCTGTTCTGGGGTGGAACAAAGAAACACCCACATATAACATGGGGGGGGGGTGGACACACATGCAGGATGGGGAGAGCTCTCCCGGGCCTGACACGCAGCTAGCTCCGGGAGGTGGGGGCAGAACAAACGGCCAGGCACAACAGGTCACAAAGTGCATTTATTCTCCATCGCCCCCAAAATACAGAATTCCCACCCCCAAAATGAGAAATCCCAAACCCGCCCACATTACATTCAAGAGGAAAGACAGACCAAGGCATCCGGGGGCTTGGCCCCACCCCAGGGACCCAGGGGACCGGGCGCCCAGGAGGGAAGGGGTTAATACTGGTGTGTGCTGTAGTGATGTGGGGGGACAAGTCAGGGTCCCCCCCCTAAAAAAGGCACAGAGGGCACAAGGCAGTGTTAAGAGAGGGGCACGAAGAACCAGGCATCCAGGCTCCCGCCCCTTTAAAGCCTGCCAGCACATGGTGGCAGCCACAGGAAGTGATGCCCAGTGAGACAGGAAGTGGGCCCTGCCCCCCAGCAGGGTGAGACAGGAAGTGGGTCTAGGAGAGAGGGGCAAGGCCCACCCCCAGCAGGAAGTGGGCCACAAATCTAGAAGGGGGAGGGGAGAAATGGCCCGGACCAGAAGTGAAAAAGGAAGGGCGGGACCACAGGAGAAAATCAACTGGCAGGAAGTGGCCCCACCCAAGACAGGAAGTAGCCTCAGCTTGTCTGTCTGTCAGTGCAAGGGTCCCACCCAGCTTGAAGGCTGGGGGAGGTGCGGGGAGGTTGGAACTGCAGGAATCTGAGGGCAGGGAGCTTGGCTCCACCCCTCTATCACCCTGGCTCCGCCCCCAAACCCATCCAGCCCCCTACTCCAAGCCCTGCCCAATAGGCTGTGGCCAGGTGGCGGGAAGGGGGGCGGGAAGGGGCGATGCTAGCCAGTGCCGATGGCGACGCCGATGATGATAATGATGATGACGACCGTGAGGGAGAGGCAGATGGCAATCATCACCTTCTTCTGCGGGGGGGCAGAAGGGGAGGGGTTAGATGGCTGGAGAAGCCCCACCCCCCAGGGAACCCAGGCATCCAGGCTCCCTCCCCAGGTACCCGGGTCCCCCAGCCCCAGGAACCCAGGCGCCCGGGCACCTTGCGGGCCTTGTGCTGGCTCTCACGGGCGGCCGCCAGGTGCTCATGGCCCTTGTGCACGTAGTCCTCCGAGTCCAGGATGTTCTTCTCGACGCGGTCGATCATCTCGCCCTGCGCCGCCCCCGCGGGCAGACAGCGAGCGTCAGCAAGTGGCCAGGGGGCACGCAAGGAGTGGGTAGGCCCAGGGCATACGGGAAGTGACCCCCTCCCGTGGCCCATGATGTGCTTGGGACAGGAAGTGGGCACTTGTCCAGGGCATGGGGCATACAGGAAGTGACCTCCCCTATGGCCAATAATGTGCTCAGGACACGAAGTGGCTGTGCCTAAGACAGGAGGTGGACACCACTGGCAACAGTGTGGCAGGCAGGAAGTAGTCGCACCTAAATGACAGGAAGTGGGGCATTTGGGACAGGAAGTGGCCTGCCGACAGGAAGCAGAGGGACAGGAAATGGAACAACCAGGGCAGGTAGTGGCCCTGCCCCTTGACAGGAGGCCTAGGGAGCGCATCCAGGACAGGAAGCGGCCCTGGCTCCTGACAGGAAGCAGGGGTGGGGTGTCCGGGACAGGAAGTGGGTACCTGCAGCTCCACCTCGGTGGCCAGGTAGGTGAACATGTCGTGCAGCTCCTGGATGCTGCGCTCCAGCTTGAGGATCTCGCCATGACGCGTCTCGATCTCGTTCAGCGCCTGCTTTGTCACCCGCGTGTCCTTCATGATCTGGGGGCAGGCGGCGGGGTCAGAGCCTGCCATGGCCCCGCCCCCCCGACCGTAGTCCCGCTCCCCCGACACTCACGTTGGACACAAACACCTCAGTCTGCCCCGTCTCCAGCATCTGCTCCAGCTCCTCCCCCGACACCCCCCCGCCGCCGGCTGCACAAGAGACGGGGTGTGAGATTCCAGGCACCTGCCCCCACATACCCCCCGCACCCAGGCGCCCGCCCCCACGCACTGATCTGCAGCTGGCGCTGGATGCGCTCCACGTTGCGGTCGCGATAGGCCGACTGGCTGGCGTTGCACTGGTTGATCAGCGCCTGGAACTGCTGGAACAGGATCCCATGCTGGGGGGGCAATTAGGGGAGCAGTTAGTGGTGGGGCAGCGGGAGGTATTTGCCCCTCCCCAGCCCAGCTCTCCCCCCCACACCCCACCTCACCTGTGTTCGCCTCATGCGGGCAGCCACTGTGTTGTGGTTCTCGTCCTCAGCCCCCTTCTTGGGCTCCATGGCTGGGAGGGGAGGCAGGAGGGGTGAGGGGCCCAGGCATCCGGGGCCCAAGCCCCCACCCCAGGGAGTCCAGGTGTCCGAGACCCCAAAACCCCGGCCCCAAAAACCCAGACGCACCCTTGAGCTGTGCCTGCACGTCCTTGGCGAGCTCCCGAATCTCCTCCCGCAGCCGCTGCAAGTCGCGCTTCATGCCTGGGGGGCGGGCAGGTCAGCCTTGGCCACACCCCCAGGGTTTAGCCCCACCCCCAGGGGCCTCAGATCCTGCCCTCAACTCTACATCTCCCCAGTGTCTCCCAGTACCCCTCACAGCCCCCAGTCCCTGCCACGGCCTCCTGGCACCCCTGTGCCCTGCAGCCCTCCCTCCAGTGCCCATGCAGCCCTGTCCCAGTCCTCCCTCCAGTTCCTCCTCCCACCCTGTCCCAGTACCGCACAGCCCCCTGCAGCCCCGTCCCAGTCTCTCCCATTGCCCTTCAGCCCCACAGCCCCATCCCAGTTGCCCCCAACCTCTGCTCACCGTCCTCGGGCAGGGGCGTGGCCAGGATCGTGCTCTGCTGCTTCTCCAGCTCGGCCACCTTCTGTGCCAGTGTGCGCAGCACCTCGCGCACCCTCCGCGCCTGGGGCAGATCAGGGGTGCCAACAACTGCCCCGGGGGGTAGGAAGAGCCCCCCTCCCCCCGCAAAGCACCCAGCTCTGGGGTGGTGGTGGCATAGAACAGAGCTGGGCAGGAGGCAGTGATGCACCTAGCTCTGGGGCGGAGCAGCTAGGTAGCAGCCCAACATAACAGCTCTTAGGAGCCCCCTGAGATGCACCCAGCTCTGGGGTGCAGCAGAGAGAAAGAGCCAGGTATAATAACACTCGGGGG